GATTGCAAATAAAGAAGATCACTTTTTTTTTTTTCTGGGAATTCTTTGTAGTCTGTCCATCGTGAATGCCCTAGACCCGGCATCAAGATCACAAATAAAATTTTCTAATTTTGCTTCGCTACCATGTTCCTCACAAACCCCCCAAAAAAATGGTTTTACTTTGTCGTTAAATCAAACACAAAAGAAAATTTGAATAGGAAGAAGTTGTCAACTTGATTGTCATAACTGCAATCTCCTAAGGTTTTTTCTGGTAATTTGATATTTTGAAGAAAACCTTACAAATGGTGATTGAGGAATATCGCCTGCAAATTTTTTTTTATAAAACTTCAAATTCTAATTATAAGAATCAAGATCCCATCCAAACCCACAATTTCTTAATCGCAATCAAGGTTAATACATAAATATAGATTGCTTTATGGAGTGGAATACCTGCTTCCCTGAACTTTAAAAAAGAAAAAAAAAAACCGTGTGTGCATTTCATCGAACACTTTATGTGCTTACAAAGTTAAATACTTATTAAAAGAATCAATCATCAATCATATACTAATAAACTACAGTGGTATTGGGATTTAATAGACAAATAAGATTGAATAATAAGGCAATACATACCTTGAAAACTATATAGCGATGATGTCTAATGTGAGAGGAGTTTTCAATCTGCTGCACACGCTTTTTACTTTATATTCACAATAAACAAATTCATTAGATAGATGTATATGGAATAAGGATTGATGAACACTTAACATGGATTTTGAGAAAACGATTTCCAATGGAAGGTGGATTTTGAGAAACGATTTTGTCATTGTTGTCGTCGACTGCTTCACTTTTGACGGGTTTTGCAGCTTTAGAAGAACATTTTTTGATAAAAGGATTTGTCAATTTTAAAAATTGATTCGGTTTCCAAAAGCAAGAAAGCGAAATCGGGGTAGATAGACTCTAACTAATGGGTACCAATGAACATATAGAAGCTGTAGAACCGATAAGAATGCATTCCTCATTTAAAACGGGATTGCAGAAAATCAGAACCAAATCAAGGCCGACTTTAGTGCGGTTTAATGAGTAAAAGGGAAAGATAGGTATATCAGTTTGTAAAATTGTGAGCGGGAAAAATCCATTGGGGAGCCTTAGAGAATGGCACGTGTCAATAAAAGTACTTATTTATTAGGATAGAATTGGTATTTTGTAGACACAAAGTTACAATTGTGTGGGGTGCGTGTGACATCCCCATTTTCACGGCCATAAAAGACCGATTTTTGTTTATGCTTTATAAAAATCAGAGTACCTCTTTTAATAAAAATGTTGCGGAATTTGTTCTCAGTAAAACATGATAAATACGTTATCAAGGCATTTCCGAAGAAAAAATATTTTTATTCATTTTAAAACATTTGGGATGTCATCATCAATACAGAAACATAAACATAAACAGAACTTACATTCATTATCACTAGTGATTTATATCTCCTTAATCTCTCAGTGTAATGTGACTTTATATCAACACATGTGATATAAATAAACTGAGTGGGTCAGGTTGGGAAACCTGGTGAGTACATACGGTTTTCAACCCATAATAATATAATTATTATGTTTAAACATCAAACAATCAACTCAATTACCCATCCACATTATCTTCCTTCATCTTAAGGATCTACCCTAAGAATAAGCTATTCCTCGTTTATTTATTCCTAAGAATCATCCTAAGCAATCGGCACGAAGTCTATCGTTGTCACGGTTCACACAATAGGCACTAAGTCTGCATAGCCGTCAGGGATTAGGCACCAAGTATGCATGGTCACCAGGGTTTAGGCATCAAGTTTGCATGGTCGCCAAGGTTTAGGCACTAAGTCTGCAGAGTCACTAGTGTTTAGGCATCAAGTCTACATGATCACCAAGGTTTAGTCTAACGTTAACCGCAGCTAATTAATAGTCTAGGTATTATTATTATTATTATTATTATTATTATTATTATTATTATTATTATTATTATTATTATTATTATAATATAAACATTAAACAACACCCATATAACTTATAATAATAGCCCAAATAATTATTTTAAGGTCCTAATAACATTACTATATTGAAACATAAGATATACTAAAGATAGGTTAGGCGTAGCTCACTTACAACGGATTTTCTCGAAAATCGGGCTTCGTTGGACCAGTGTTCCCGAGCCGAAAGGCTCTTTTCTCTGGACTCCGGGAGCCTCGGAGCTTCCTTCGGGTGCTAGGGGGTTTACCTAGACTTTAGAGGGGGGGGGGGGTTGGGGCTTTAGAAAGAGAAACTAGAGAGAGAAAGTGAAGTTGAGAAGGCGTGAAGAATGAGGGAACCCGACACCTCTATTTATAGGCTGGAAATACCAAAAATCGTCGAGTTGGCCTCCAACTCGTTGAGTTCCAGGCCATGTGTTAGCATTCTGGTGGCGAAACGTGTGTGGCACCACCCCTTTTGCAGCAACACCCTGCCGACTTCTAAACCCTGTAACTTTTGCATACGAGCTTCATTTTCAATGTTTTTTTCAACGCGTAGGTAAAAACAAGATCTACAACTTTCTTTTAGACCCCGTCGGCTAATTCTTGGTCGATCTTAAATTTATCAGTAAGAGGAGATTAGACTGCTAAATTACCGCGGAGAATTCGTAACTCCTTCGTACGGACTCCATTTTTGTTTGTCTTTTCACTGTTGAGTTCCTATTAATGAGATCTTCAATTCTCATTTAGGTCGTGTAGGCCAAAAACCGCTCGAACTAAAATTCGAGTTTCGAGTCGTGCACTGCTATGCCGAATCTTAGAAAAATCATAACTTCCTCTTACAAAGTCAGATTTGGGCGTTCTTTTTATGGTTGTTCTCGGTTTAACATATTCTATGACTTTGGTTTAGATTACTAAGGCCAAAGAGTCTTCTATCGTAAATTCACTTTTTATGTCTCCCGATGCCGTGCCGGTTTTGCCGTAAAAACTTCGACGGACCATAACTTCTTCGTTATAACTCGGATTTCGATGTTCTTTATATGTACGGAACCATTGAGACATATTCTACAACTTGTTTAAGATTATTTATTCTAAATAATCTTTTGTCAAAAAGTCGCTTTCGACCCTTATTATCTCTAAATTGACTAGTCCGGATCTACGGGCGTTACAGTGCGTTAGGTTGTAGAAATTATTTTAGTTTTTTTACAGATTTTTTTTCCAAGAATAATGAAAAGTTAAAAAACATGTATTTTTCAATAATTTTTCTAAAAAATTTCTAAGAAAAAAGATTTTTTTTCAATTTTCTATAACTTGAAAAAATGATAATTTTTGTTTTCCATATTTTTCATTTCTATTTTTTTTATAAGTTATAAGTTATACACCCATACACCTAGGGGTAGAGATGGCAACGGGGATCAGAGAATATAGACGACCCTAATCCCTATTCTCGTCATCGAATTCTTATTCCAATTTCCATTCACATCCATATCCCCATGAGAGAATATAAATAAACTTCCATCCCCACCCCCAATGGGGAATGGGGAATTTATTTTCCTCTTTTAATATGAGAACTTTTTCGTTAAGAAAAATTCTAAATTTCAGTTTTTCCGATGTAAGCTTAAAGATTTTTCCAAAATATAAAAATATCTTTAGATTGCATAAACAGTATAAACAAATATTCTAGCAAATTTAAAGAAATACTTGAAAAATCAAGTAGAAAAAAATTATCAGAGTGATATTTGAGGTAAAAGATAGATAATCCAAATCGAAAAAATTGTATACGAGTTTAAGTTATATATATATATATATATATATATATATATATATATATATATATATATATATATATATATATATATATATAATTTCAACAAAGTAATTACTAAAGAGTTAGGCTATCCGGATCAAGCTTTATGTATTGTAAAATTTACTATAAATATATTTTTTTGTATTATTTGTTTATATTAATATATCGGAGGAGAATCCAGGGTCGGGATTAGGGTTATCCTCGCCCCATCCCCACTTTTTTTATTTGGGGATTCCTCATCCCTGTCCCAATCTCCGGTCAACTTGAGGATTCCCCACTCAAAACGGATGCGAGTTTCGGGTTCCCCATCGGGTTCGAGACTTTTTGTCATCCCTACCTAGGAGTATAAAAATGCTCGAACTCGATTAACATGACTTGATCTAAGCCCGAATAATGCTAATAGGGTCGGGTTTATTAGGGTCATAAATGAAAATCGGGTTAGGTTAACTCAAAACATATATAGGGTTGGGTTTTCAGTACATATCTTTTCTTTTAATTGGGTTCCGGCTTGGTTCAAAAAAAAAAATAGGTTCCGGTTTACCCATGTTAGATTTTTAGGTTGACTTCCTTTCTCGTTATATCATACCCACAAAGAAATACCGAAACATAAAACCCAGAATCGCTTGTACGTTCAAATTTAGACAATTACGGTAAGACATGTGGACTACTAATGTAAAGTATTACACCGAGATCATTTCTATAATTTTACATTCTTTGCAGGCTGCTATTACATAAGAAACATTTCTATAATTTTGTCTGTTCCATGCAAATTAAAAGAATAGATGGACCATTTCTATAATTATATTATTACACATTGACAACTTCTATAATTATTAGATTAGAGAACTATAGTTTAATGTGCCCTTAACAACACAGCATTTGCTAAGTGTTATGTAGGTAATATGTTAAATATTGTATCATTTGAAATAACAAATTTAGAAAACGAAAATTGATAGAAAATAAACTTTCAAGCACGTTTTCTAATCTTCTAAAATAGAAAATGAAAACTCAATCCGTTTCAACCAAAAACAAGTTTTCTAAATTTTCTACTGAAAACTGAAAAATAAACTCCGTTCCTGTTTCTGTAAACATTTCCAAAAAAACTTACTAACATTTTTCCACAACTAAACACATAGAAATGCTACTAAAATTAATGCACCATGAATAGCAAACATATCAACAAAATATGATTATGGATCACCTAAAACAACCAATTTCCTACAAGATCAACCCTTTTCCACCTTGAATAACATTAAAAAAAAAAGTAGTTTCAAAACTTGAACAAATTCTTATGAACCTTAGATACAACTCTACAAGTCAACGAAACCCTAGTAGCAGATCTATGAATCACCTTCAAATCCCCATCATGCATTTCAACCTCACTACCATTCACAACCTGAAAAAGTGAAAACAAACAAAAAAACATATATAAACGACATAAAGATAAAAAAAGTTAGTTTTTTTTAATCATATAATTATGCCATGATGATTTTTCAAGTCATCTTACCTCATCATATTGTTGAATTTCACAATCTTTTATACCATGTAAGTAATCTGATCACCAAAAAGGAAAAAATGGTATAATAATATTTCATTAAGATCAATTGAAAACATTTAAAAATAGGCTCACCTGAGTATGCTGTATCTTTGAATACCAATAAACTGCATGGCATCAGTGCAATAGAGAAAGGAGGGTAGTTTTGTAAATTCCCATGATTGGTTTCTTGAATGTTGCTTTTAGTGTCTGCTAAAGTTGAATGAAGAGTGAAGTCCATGACAACAGGTGATCCTAATGAAAGAATAGCCACCACCGGAAAATAAGCGGGCCCATCTTGGTGGGGCTATGTTTTAATTTCACCAAAAACAAATTTGTTAATAAATGGGAAAGTAAAAAGGGTAAATGCAAAATACAATTTTTTAATTGATTTAGTCACTTAACTACAGAGTACAAACCATTATGCCTTGATTTGGAAGATACTCATTGATGAGGACATGGTTGATTGCAGAAGGAAACAAACACAATTCCTCCTTGATTTTTTCTGTAATTTTTGTCAGCCATGGTGGTACTAGAAAGAGAAAAGAGAGAGGTATGAATTATGATTACTCGCTAATTTGATCTTATTAAATCAAATGGAATTGCTACATATAAAATTCAATATTAAGTTTTATGAGAATAAGGTATAGGACATCTTAATCCCGAAATGCTATTGATAAGAGAGAAGGATTAGGGCTTACAATTTTGAGCCAAAAGACCTTTTTCATGGACAATCCCTCCTGTAACAAACATCACACGAAAACAAACGAAAAATCTCATCAAAACCAACATATATTTTAACCTCCAAATTAACAAGTTGATAGATAACAGTAATGTCATACCCCAATTTTGCAATCTCCTGTTTTTCAGAGACTTCCATTTCGAAACCGGAGCTGTGTAAATCTACAAAATCAAAAAATAAAACCTCGTTTCAATTTGAGAATAAGAGTTAAGCAACTACACCACTGTTCTCAATTTCGAAGTGAAAAATCACACCCCAAAGAACAACAAAAAGGAGAAAAGATGGCAAACAGAAGATGCGTTAGTAGATTACATACCTGATTTAGGAGTAGTTTTTGATCGGAATCGGAGATAAAGTCCGGTATGTAGTACAACGTCGGAACTGAGCCGACTTTGAACTTGTTCAAATGATCACTCGATTCCATTTCCCTCTGTTCTACAAATCGATCGGAACCTTCACGCTATGTGTTGAAATGCTGACTAATTTAACGACTTTAGCCTATCCTGAATAAATAAAACCCGATCGGATCCGATTCCAAAACGTACAAAAATGCTTGAAAAGTAGAGGTCGGGTTAAATAATTTGGGCTCGGTTAAGGGGTCGTTTGATAGTTGCTAACTGGGTTAGAAGCTGATTGGGTTAGAAGTTCTGATTGGGTTAACTTTGACTAAAACTTACTGTTTGATGTTGAATCTGGTTAACTATGTAAAATGACTATATTACCCTCATACACCATTTTCTATAATTATTCCTTTATCACATTACATTTTTTATAAAAACATTCAAAATAATCAAATCAATGTAATTTACAAACATTCTTTAAAAAATATGCATATAAACATACAAGAAAATGACTTGCATTTATTCAATTCAATTCAATGTTAAGGTTTGGTCCATTCATCTGTAAATGTTTACCTTTGAGACAGTATCATGAAAAAAATATTTAGCATTAAACTATATCTAAAATATTTTTCAACATAATCTACAACCCCAAGTTTAAGAACCAAACACATTAGATTAGGAAAACCAAAAGGGTCTGATAAACATTAGTGACAAAAACACATCACACAAGTTGAAAGCCATTTCTGTTGAATTAATTTCATTTACAAAAGCTTCTACAATCAAATCAAGATGCGTACATTATAATTCTAAACACAATCACTCAAGATACATACTTGATCAAGATTATAATTGGTGGAAAAAAAGATTGAAATATAGGCTATCATTGGAGCAAATTAACAAACACCTGGTGATCAACAAATAGTAGTTACCCAAAAACCAATCAACATCTGAAATCATGGAATCCATAAATACAAACACACTCATACGGACGATGGATTATATAGGAGGCCTAAACAACCCAAATTGGTTATTGTTCCTCAAATCTCCCTTCACTCCCTTCGCACATAAAAAGTTGTGAAGGAAAAAATGTAATTCCTTGTTGTAAAATCGTTAAATAGCAACAATTTATGTTGTTAAAAAGTTGTGAAGGAAAAAATGTAATTCCTTGTTGTCGAAATCGTTAAAAAGTTGTGAAGGAAAATTTGTGTTTATCTAGAAGAAAGGAGGCGAAAGCTTAGGTCGGATGTGCGAGGAGTATCGGGAAGAAAGTGTATCTAGCGCCAAGGAAAGGTAAGTGTGTAGTGCTAGGAGGAGAAATCGGCTTACCTGCTGCACTACTGTGGAGGTTGCCGCCAATGGAGGCTGATGAGGCGTCACCGGTGTTATGCTCTATTAAAGGAAGTGTTGATGCAAGGAACGAGAAGCACGATTGTGGATTGTTCCCGGTCCATCAAGAAAAAATGGGGGACCGAATCTGATGAAAACCTAACCTTGGACCGAGTCTTTGACTTTCAAATCATTATCAAACATGCCAACTAAATTTTGTTGGACCCAATCCATCTTTGGCGCCTCGGTTAGAACCTATAAAGTAAGTTTGGTTGGCTTCATGTTTTATGTTGTTAAACATGTTAGAAAATATCAAATCATTTTCTTAATCCAACCAGATTTGTTAAATAAATAGGTTGATATATGAAAATTAATATTGTTTTTGTTTTTGTTAATTAAACAAGTTGAAATATAGATGCTTTTTACCCTTTTTAATATTTTTTAAAGGTTTTATCAAAACCGGTCCAAACATATTTTAGGTTCTAAACAAATGAATAAAAAAATTGAAATTAAAAAAATTAAGTGGGACAAAAATTTACAAAATGAGTTCATTGGTCTTACAAAAAATATAACAATTGGGCCCTATGTTTTTTTCCGTATTGTTTACAAAAAAAAAAAAAAAATAATAAACAAACTCCAAATTAAACATAATTTTTTCATTTCCAACAAATATATAAAAACAAGCATACAAATGAATATCAATAATCCGACTAGGTACACTGACTATAAGTGCATTAATAGATAAATAGTTTGGAAATAAATTTAAAACTAGATATGTATAATCTGCACCACATCAATGGTCATCATGATGATCAGATGTAATATCTTAGAATTGATGATTTATGTAAGTGGTGATTTGATATATGTAACACTCAATAGAAATATAGGTTGACTTCTCCAAGCAATATGGAGTCACTGTGAGCATGTGCAATGTATACGAGAGAAGTATGTGAACTTCTTTGAAAGTCCCTATTATGTGGGTTAAGAGATTTATATATACGATCGAAAAATTGTCTATCTTGGAAGAAGAGGGAACGAGAGCTTGATTGTAGGACTGAAGTGGATGGATTGGGAATGTTAGGCGAAACCAACAAAAGTGGTTGAAGTGAGGATGTTGGACTAAACCCACATGAATGACTAGACCGGAAATTTTGGACTGAGTCAACATGAGAATGATGGACAATATGTGACATGAGTCGGCCGGAGTGAACTAGAGATAGGAGTTGGTTTAATAACAACAAGAAATATTGGAAAAAAACGTGAAATGATGGTACATTAAAAAAATTAAAGAATAAATAAAAACACTAAAGTGTTGTTTGTTTTTTCGGAGACAAAATGTCTGCAGTCTACGGACCACATCTGCAAACGTCTGCAGTAGAAGAGATGAACCAAATGTATGCAGTCCGCAAAAAGAAGGTTGTTTGTTTTTAGTGTCTGTATGTTGTTAAAATAAACTAAAATTTAAATATATCATTTTTTTAAGACAAAACTTCAAAAATGGTCCCTGTGGTTTACAGGAATATCAAGTTTAATCCCTAAGTTCAAAAAACCTCACAGATAGTCCCTGTGGTTTCAAAACTTTTAACAAATGGTCCTTCCGCCTAACTCCGTTAGCTTTCTACCGTTAAGTGAGGGGCATTTTCGTCATTTCAATACACAGAAACCATTTATGAGGTCTTCTCTATTTAAAATAAAATAAAATAAATAAATAAAACTATTTAATTAAAGGGCCCCACCCTTTCTCTCTCTCTCTCTCTCCCTCTCTCTGTAAAAAAGAAAGCCAAACCCATATCTCTCTTCTCCGTTCTCTCTGTTTTCAGTTGGGTAAACAAACCCCTAAAGCGGGTTCATCCATAAACTCAATTAGAAAAGCCCATAGCTTCGGTTTCCATGAAAAAGAGATGGAAACAAATGAGCAAACATGTTTACTAAATCAGTTCACCTGATGCTCCGATGTATGCCTCCATTCTCGGATTAATTGTTGTCTTCTCAAAGAACTGGACTTGGTGGCGATGGTGCTCTTTGTGCTTCTAACTCCGATTAGGGTTTCGTCGATGCAACACCGACGAATAACAAATCTTGGTGGAAGGTTCTCTCGGTGATGATGGTGAGCCATTTCTTCTCCTTGATTTTTCATATCTACCCCTTCGTGATCTCTCTCACGTTCTATCTCTTCCAAATTTCTTTGAGGAACTGTTTTGTCTATGTGTTTGTGGTTTGAAAACCAGAAGAGAAACCAAGGGAAGAATAAGAATAAGAAATAAACCTTGAGGGTGCCATTACAGGCACAAGGAGATTCCAGTTCGAGTTCTACGTCTTCTTCTTGACATATTCTACACTCTGTGATCACCATCTTTGAGCAACCTTCTTTTTCTTCTTCTTCTCTTCTTCTTCTTCTTCTTCTTCTTCTTCTTCTTCTTCTTCTTCTTCTTCTTCTTCTTCTTCTTCTATGTTGTGAATTAAATCATCACCATCGCCATCATTTCTGGTGTTGTTTTGAAACAATTGCACTACAGTTTTAAGTTCGTCTCGTATCGTGATGTTGGAGGAGGAGTCTAAGCAAGATGATGATGTCATTCGTTCGACACAAACCATTAATTGTTCATAAAAGCACGCACTCACTCACACACTTCGTGTGAAGCAAAAGAATGGGGAAGAAGGGGGAAGTGTGAACTCTGAAAATTAGGAGAGAGAAAGAGAGAGAGAGGGTGGGGCTCTTTAATTAAATAATTATATTTTTTTTTCATTTTTTTAAATAGAGGAAACTTCATAAATGGTCCCTGTGTATTGAAATGACAAAAATGCCCCTCACTTAACGGTAGAAAGCTGACGGAGTTAGGCGGAAGGACTATTTGTTAAAAGTTTTGAAACCACAGGGACCATCTGTGAGGTTTTTTGAGCTTAGGGACTAAACTTGATATTTTCGAAAACCACAGGGACCATTTATGAAGTTTTGTCTTTTTTTAAGCATAAAAAATATTACAATAAACTAAAATTTTCATCAATTATAACTTAAGCAACTAAATAAAGCAAACAACTAATTGACAAATATAGTTAGGGAATCGATAAAAAAACTTGATAAAAACACAACAAATCAAAAATAATAAACACAAACCGATACATAATTTGACGATGTGATGATTCGAAGGGCTTAAATTATGCTTAGATTCAATAATCAAAAAATTAAATGAACTTAGTTATTAGCGTGATATAAATTATGATAACTGAAAAATAAAACTTAATTAAGATTCTTGATGTTATATATATGAACTAATTAATCGATAAATATTGTTTCTATCCTAAATAACATAAAAAAAAAGTTACCTGATTTACCTACTAAATGCAAACATGAACAAAAATAAAAATATCTATAAAATTATGTCAAAATTATTTGGATAAATATATATGTTAATAGAAAAACATGAACATAATCACACACACATCTATATATATATATATATATATATATATATATATATATATATATATATATATATATATATATATATATATATATATATATACTAGCCGTCTACCCGCGCAAAGCGGCGGGGCACGTGAGTTCTTTCGGTGATATGTTTCCATTACAAAATTGTTATGTTAAAAAAAAGTACATGTTGAAGACAATATAATCAAACTATGGTGTTATTTCTTACATCATGCATCAAATAACCAATAAAAAGCAACCAGTCAAGACGACACAAAATATTAATCGTGCAATACTTCTTTATACACCACATTTGCTGTATAAACCCCATCACCTTTTGAATTTTCGTTAGGCTTTACTAATACTTTTGTATTGCAACGTGAAACCCCTCTGGACAATGCAACATAAAGTTGTCCATGCGAGAATACTGGTTCTGGAAGATAGATACCTACATATGGAATTGTTTGTCCCTGAGCTTTATTGATTGTCATTGCAAAGCACAATCGAATAGGAAACTGTTTCCTCATTAGAGGATCGATGGTTGCTACTAATTGCTTGTAACTGGTATTGGTTTCATATCGATGGATGTGGATTCGCATATGAAATCAATTGTGTTCGCATCTATGAAATCAGTTCGCATATGACATCAATTGAGTTCGCATTTGGTTTTGTGGGTCAAAACAGTTCGCATAAGAAGTTCACGATTTGTTTGAGGTTAATTGATTTTGATTTCGCAAGCTTGGAGTCGGAGATCTGGATTGTGTTCGCATCTATAGAATGCGAGGAGAATTTAATGGTGATATTCAGTTCGCATTTGGTGACACAAGTACGTGGTTGATGATTTTTGGTTGGTTCGCATTTGAAATTAGTGGGTTTCGCATTTGGCTTCGTATCTGGGTTTCTCAAACAACTGAAATGCGAATATGAGACAATTGATTAATTTCTCAGTTAATGCGATGAAATGCGAATGAACTCAAAGACGGATGGATGCAAGATGCGAAGAATTTGAATGAAAATGCGAAGTTTTTAATGTATAAATGCGAATTGGGGAAGAAAGCTTAGAGTTTCGCATTTGGCACCTGATCTTTTCAAGAAATAATATAAGTGGTCCAACTTCGCAAAATGGGGTCATTTAATCAGAAAATCGATCATTCTTCAAATATGACATTTAATCAGAAAATCGATCTAAAAATGAGACATTTGGTGTTTATCGATTTTTCAGGGTCGACGGGTTGTATGAAAAGCGAAGGCTGAGTAATTGAAAATTAGAGGATCGATGGTTGCTACTAATTGCTTGTAACTGGTATTGGTTTCATATCGATGGATGTGGATTCGCATATGAAATCAATTGTGTTCGCATCTATGAAATCAGTTCGCATATGACATCAATTGAGTTCGCATTTGGTTTTGTGGGTCAAAACAGTTCGCATAAGAAGTTCACGATTTGTTTGAGGTTAATTGATTTTGATTTCGCAAGCTTGGAGTCGGAGATCTGGATTGTGTTCGCATCTATGGAATGCGAGGAGAATTTAATGGTGATATTCAGTTCGCATTTGGTGACACAAGTACGTGGTTGATGATTTTTGGTTGGTTCGCATTTGAAATCAGTGGGTTTCGCATTTGGGTTCGTATCTGGGTTTCTCAAACAACTGAAATGCGAATATGAGACAACTGATTAATTTCTCAGTTAATGCGATGAAATGCGAATGAACTCAAAGACGGATGGATGCAAGATGCGAAGAATTTGAATGAAAATGCGAAGTTTTTAATGTATAAATGCGAATTGGGGAAGAAAGCTTAGAGTTTCGCATTTGGCACCTGATCTTTTCAAGAAATAATATAAGTGGTCCAACTTCGCAAAATGGGGTCATAAAAAGACAAAAGTGCAGAATTTTCATTTCGCATCCCTGTAGTCTTCGCAAAATGGAAAATTTTACCCAGTTTCGCATTTGGGGTAAATTTTTTTGAGAAATTGGAATATTTTCAAACTTTTTTTCTTAAAAAAAACACATTGTCTTCGTCTAAGAGAGGGAGAAAAACGATTAGGGTTTATAAGGGAAATACTTCATGGCAGTGGGATTTATAGCAGGGTTTATAAGGTGGAGAGAACAAACACACGTCTGCTATGAGATATTTTAATCAGCTGCAAATGCAACATTTAAAGGATATTTGTTGAAGCGTATTAGGATGAAAAGGTTTTAAATTTTGAATGACCATGAAATTAGGATTTTGCTGAGAAATATAAGGAATCAAAACAAATTTAAAATTTAATATTGTTTTATTAATGGTTGTTTGTAATATTAGCTTAATCGTTTGTACGTCTTAAAAAAATAATATTATTATATTCAATCTATTTATAGAAATAGTTAGATTTCTTTTATAAGTAGTAAAGATATATATATATATATATATATATATATATATATATATATATATATATATATATATATATATATATATTATATTAACATTTAACCAACATGAACAATGATAAGCATTCCACTAGTTATGATATATCTCAAATCTAACTTTTGATAAGTGGAATACAAATGACAACAAATCAAAAATCATTTTGATCAATCACTTGCTTAAGAAACAAATTGATACCACATTTATAAAAACATTTGAATCAGCCATGACACTTCTTAACGGTCATATTCAGATATAAGTGGTTGTTTGATTTGTCTTCTAACTTAGAACCCGATGCTTAGTCCCAAGTCAATATTTTGTAAAAGTTCCCATTTTTTTTCTGGTTCGAGTCCCCGTTGTTTTCCTTTATGACCCGGTTAAAACCTATAACTCATTCAGTTTCTAACCCAATCAATTATAACCTAGTTAGCAACTATCAAACGATCGCAGTTAAATTCAGTTTGTAACCCAATCAATTATAACCCAGTTAGCAACTATCAAACGATCCAGTTAAATTTTGACCCAATCAAATCCGACTAAAATTTTTAAACACAAAAATAAGAAAACAAAAAACGTCAAAAAAACGATTAGTAGATGGACCGAAAATGTCAACAAGTCAGAAGTCGATAAAAGCAAACAGTATTAAGTCGATAAAAACGCCTGGCTGCAACGATTTTGAATTGGGGAAATTAGCGAGCGAATCTAGAAACATTTGTAGATCCCTCTCAAGTCTATCTCTTCTTCAATTCACCCAATTTCTCTCTACTCCACACACACTACATTACTGCAGCCAGGGCTCAAAGTAGAGGAGCTATGGAGCTAATGGTAGTTACTTTGATTATTGGCTTCCTGTTGAGTTTGTTGTTTCTAGCCCCTCGATTCATCAAATCCGGTAAATCTTTTCATTTCATCTTACATTTCTTTCGTGTAATCCATCGAATCGGAAGTTTTCAATAATATGCACAAAATTTGTATGTATTTCTAATCTTCGGGTATTTGTGTAATGCAGATCAAACCAAGAAAGTTCAATCAGATACTAACATCAAGGTACTATCCTTAACATATAAGAATTCTAATGTTTGAAACAACCATGTATTTGTTATACAGACAAAATTGATGCTATGGATTTCAAAGAACACTAGATTTGTATTTCCAAAACAAACAAGTACCTAATGAATAGTATTATAATGTTGTACACTTTTTAATTGCAGACTGTAAAATCATACAACAAGGCTGCGGTTTCCTTGCATAACAAAAGGACAAATTGCTGGATCATCATCAAAGAGAAGGTTCTGTTAGGTTATATAACCTATAACAATACTTCATTCCATCACTATGAAATTAGGGGAAACCTAAAAA